GGTTCCTAATTAAGTTTATTCAGTAGTTTTCAAAAGTTATGCGAGAGAATTAAAGAAAACTGGAATACTAATTCTACGATTTTACGATTTCATTCAATTCCTGTATGAGAAGGGAACCGAAGAGAATATTATAATATTCTTTCATAATAATCTTTCCTCGTTCTGTTGCTTCATGGTTAATTCCATGTTAATATTCAGAATAATGTCATTAATCATTACTAAAATGGTTTGATAGTAGAGATAATATATTTTGAATTTTGTAAATGTTGCATATTATGTACGTGAGTACAATTCAGTGATAATCATTGAAGAATAATTTAAAAGATTAATTATATTAATATTAGGCTGAATTCTGTATCGCTAGATATTAAGGAATCATAGATGTACATGTAGATTGCTTCAGAGAACTTATTAACTAATTCATAAGATAAAATTTGTAAAATAGCGAAATTCGTTTTAGATCTGATATATTTTAAAATGTCAATATTTGTTTTGACTAAATGTAAAGAAGGCAGCCTTGCAAATTTTGTGTGCATTTCCGAAATAATGAAATATTGAGTTCTTTTTCTCATTCTTTTATTCTCTGACCAAAAGATTTTAGTGTTTTAACTCGAGAAATAGCCGCACTTTGCTTTTAGAAAGGCACCGATTTATTACATAGAGATAATATATTAATTGCCTGTGAAATGTTCAGTCATTTCTTTTTAATACTAATTAAGTGAGGATCATTCAGCTATTCGGAGGATGTTTAGGATAGAATTTGTTCTGAAAACTCCAGCTTCAATTTTCCGTATTATTAATTGTATTAAGAGTTTTGCGTGTGCGAGTTTACATTAGCATAAATTATCAGTCTATAATTTTGAATCTAATTGTGGAGTAGTGTGTATTGATTAAGACAGATTAGTTTGTTTCGAATAGTTTATTAGTTGTTAGGACCTCAAAACATGTATCCATGTATAATTATCCATTATGTTCAATTATCCATGATAATCTACTGTCAAACGTGAAAGAATTTTTACAGATTTTATTTGTTTCAGTTCTTTATTATTTAATGATGCTTAATTGTCAGATGTCAGAATGGAATCTATTGATACAGGTTTATTATCTTTGTCTTACTCTTAGAAAACTTAAAATCAAAAATCTTTGATCAGTTCTGTAACTTAAAAGTATTTTATTGTATGATTTGAATAATTATGGAATTCGTTACGTTATATAATATAATAAGATTACTGGCAAATGGATAAGTTGGATAAGTGAGTCAATTATTAAAATATTATTAAGATATAATATATATAATATACATGTAAGACATAGATGATATCATTCAAGAAAATTTTAGTACGGTTTCTTGGCAGATATTTTGCATGAACAGATATGTAATTTCTAATTCATACTCTGATTCGTTTTGTTTAAAGAAATTTTCAATAAAATTATAAACGTTTCCAGTAAGATTATATATCTTAAGAATTTAGAGAATTTGTTATCTTCAAACTATATCATATACTTTTTCGGTATTTATACAAATGGCGGTGACATATTGCTTTTTACTAAAGGCATCAGAGATATTGGCTTCGATATTTATTAAGCGAAGAGTAAAATTGTTTAAATCAGCTCTGGACTATTTAAATCTTGTTATTATAGCAGATTTATCAAGAATCCGACCAATTCTATTATTTGCCAATTTTTCTATTAGTTTACAGCAGATATTCGTTAGAAAAATTAAATGGTAATTTCTAGGATATACAATGTCCTAGAGTCTTCTAATTGTATTTATATTGGAACAATGTCAGTTGTAGGAAAAGACTCCGCACCCCTATAGTATAATATTGAATAATGCTAATATATATTTTAATCCAGTAGTTGGAAGTTTAGGTAGTAAAATATTGGAAATTTGATTTAATATTTTTTCATTTTATTAAAACTCTTTCAAGTTCTTCAATTTGATAAGAGCTATTTAATTAAAATAAGAATTTTTAAGTATAAGTTGAATCATTGTTGTCGAGATTATCGGTATAGCTTACAAAATAGCGATATTGATTGAACATTTTTACAAGTAGGTCAGCAATTTCTTCCATAATTGCAATTATAGATTTATCAGAACGAATCGAGCGAGATACATGTAACTTTTTTATTACTCAGAAAATATCAAACAAATGAACTTTGTTTATTCTTTGGTTATTATTGGATCCTTACTTCATTGAGTTTGAGTGTAGAATAGCTTATGATTTTATTTTTGAAAATTATTAGTTATTGTAATCCGACATCTTTAGTGTTAGTTTCATTTATGTGATTAAGAATAATGTACGTAGTTGGTATTTTATCAGTGATTTTGTGTTGTGTGTATGTTAGGAATTGAATGAGGTGTGATGTGTTGTCTGCAATGTGTTATGGCTATAGTGATGTGTTTTGTGTTTTAATTAAGTATACAAGTAATATTGGATGAAGCATGCTTGTTACAGGGTAATATACAGGTCCAAATTTCAACCAGACTTTGTCAACATATTTGGGAGATGACTTTAAGTAAAAAATATTATACGTAAACGGTGTTATACGTCTTTGTTTTCGAGATATGAAAAAGAAGGTAATATAAACATAAGTCACAAGTAATCAGATATATACTATATTCAGGCTACATAACTTTTAATTATTACACTAGTTTATTCTGATGTGCACAGTAGTAAATACTATAAATAGTAGTCTTTTCGATTTTTACTATCAATTCACTACGTGTATTTAGATTTTCCATCTAAATATGTCCTCGATTTCATGAAATCCCATACAAAAAAATTATATATGTTTCAATAAATATGAAAATAGTACTCTAACTCAACTATTAGTAATTAATAATTAGTAAAACTATTAGAAATTAGTCTATATCTCGAAAAAGAAGATGAATAGATCCATAATGTATATAACATTTTTTGCTCAAAATGACCAAATATGTTGGCAAAGTCTAACAGTTGAGATTCGGAATACTGCATATGTATTCCTCATTATTGTTCCTTTCAATGGTTATTTCTTGTACATCTTATGCATTCAATCCTATTCTCTTTGCAGTTAATAGAGATTGTTCCAATTATGTTATAACTGGTAGTGGCTTTTCTCTTCCATTTTTTGGTTTATGCTACTCTAGACACTTGATACATCTGTGTATTCTACTTATTGATTCTACAGCTGTTCTGCACTAAAATATTTTTGCTTTTCTATATGGCACTTATGACACTATTATATTATTTTTTTACATTTTGTAAGGTTAGCTATTGTATAAAAAAATGCTTAGCGGTTTTCTCTTTTCTTGAGAATTTTACTTTGCTATTTGCTTTTTCTTTGAATGCTATAATAGGCACTTTAAATACTACAATTTGTTTTTTATTTGCACAAATAATAATTATTCATTTAGGTGGTAATTATTAATATAGTTTGATAATAAGTTTATTTGACTTGTCGATATATCTAAAATCAAACCTCAGTAACTTAAATCTCTCAAATTTTCTCGAAAAAAAAAATCTTCAAATTGTGAAGATTTCGTTTTATTGAAGCTTCGAGCAAAAAAGATTTAACAAACGAAAATTCATTTAATCAATCTTCGAGATGCAATATATAGAACATATGTCTTTGGGAATTCACGATGAAAATAGTCGCGTGACTTGCTAGGAGTCGTGTATTATTTTACTGACTCGCAACACTCTTTTTTTTTTTTTGCTTGATTTAAGTGCCTGGAGTTTCGTGACTCTTTAACCTACATAAAAAGATGTATTTGTTGGGTGGATGCTTCTACCAGGTGAACAGAAAAAATTTCAAAAAACCTGCATATCTTATTGGTTTCTATTTTTGATTTTGACTTTGTTCGGATTTTAGTAGTGGCAATTGCGTGTTTAGGTAGCTTTTTCTTGATTTTTAGTGGGATGTTGTTGACGTTGCAATTTCTTGTTTGACTGATGAGTGGGTTTTGATAAGCGATTTCAAGTGAGTTTGTAATGTAGTCCTGAATCGTTTGGATGTTCGTTATTGCACTACACAGATGGGTGTGTCATCCGGTTTGTTGAGGATGATGCGTAGGAATTTATTTTGGATTTTTTGAATTTTATTAATGTGTGACTTTATTGCTGCTGTCCAGATTTGATGGCCGTATATTATTATCGGCCTAAAGCACATTTTATATAAATTTAGTTTGATATTTGTTTTGAGATTGCTGTTTCTGCAAAGTAACGAATATAGTCTTCTGAGTGCGGGGAAAGCTTGATTTGCTTTTTTGGTGGTCGCTGAGATCTAGGTAACTTTAGCGTTTAATAGTACGCCAAGGGATGTTGTGATGGAAACTTAATTTGTGGATTTGGATCTATTATTTGTGAAGGCAATATTTTGTGTTTTGACTGGGTTGATTTTTAGTTTCCAGTTTGTGAAGTAATCTTGGAGTCGATCAAAATGTGCTTGAATGTACTTGGTTGCGTTTGTGTGACTCTATGATGAACCGAAGATGGCGGTGTCATCTGCATAAACAACTAGATGGGAATATTGAGTGCATGGAATGTCGTTTATGTAAATTATAAATAGGAAGCCGAGTATGGAACCAATACTCTCAGCAGTGACGCTTTTGATGGTTGAGAGAGTACTGTTTATTCAGATATAGAAGGTTCTGTTTTGCAGGTAACTGGCTTCTTTACAGTTTCACTAGACAGGCGCTGTGCCAGACTGAATCGAAAACTGTTTCTAAATCTAGGAGGATAAGTTGTGTTACTCTGTTTTTGTTTATCTCTAGGGTGATGTTCCATAACTCACTGCTGGATGCATGAATGATTTTTTCTGATTTTTTCCAAACTGCTAAGAAATGATTATGTTACTGTTAACATAGGTTAATTGGTAATATTTTTTTCAAATAATTTGTTGATAGTACTTAGGAGGCTGATTGGCCTGTAGCTTTCGACAGCTGTTGCGAGTTTCTCCTGCTTGGGGATTGGGATTACCTTGGCAATTTTCCATACCAAGGAAAATAAGAAAGTTTAAGACAGACTTTGAAGATGTGATGCATTTGTACTACAGGTTTGATTGAAAGTTTTTTGAGTGCTGTTGTGGTGATTTTGTCTGGTCCTGGAATTTTCTTGAAAGGGAGTTTTTTAATTATGTGTTTTATCTGTTGAAGAGTGCAGTTTAAACTGCTGTCGTCTATGGGGGAGAGGGGGAGGGATTGTAGGTGGTAATGTTGCAAATCTTTCAATGTCGTGCTGAGTTGTATTCCATGCAGAGTTGTATTTTTTTCGAAGTTTACAGCCTTTCGGCTCTTTTTTCGTCTGTGTAGTAGGGTGTATGAGATGTAAGATTTTGGAGTATAGGTATCCGGGTTTTTCCGGAGCCGGTAATCTTGAAAGTCTGCCAAAGTGTATGGTCCGTCTTCTTAATGTTTGCAAACTGATCCTGCCATATTTAGTTTTGGGCTTGAAGTAAACCGCTCTTGCGTATGATATTCTCTGCTTTGTTTGCCATTGTTTGCCTGAGTCAGAG